GGGACACGGCCACGCAGGCTGGCTGTCCCCGGCACCGGGGCGGGTGGAACGGGGCAATGGGGGTTTTGTTCACATCCCAGAGGGAGGCCGGGCTGTACCCCCGGCACGGCCCAGCACCCCAACCACTCCAATAATTACACACACGGAGCTCTGGGCCCCACAAAGTCAGGAACAGGGTGATTTCAGCCCAGCCTCTGCCTTTCCCCAGCCTTGGGATGGAGCCTTGGCCCTGTGGACAGCCAGTTCCCTGCCCTCCCTGCCTGCCAAGAGCAGAGGATCCCCCCAGGGAGAGCTTCATGGCACCCACTCCAGGAACACAGCCCATGTGGGGCTTGGATGGAGTTGCTGGGTGTTAGCACCAATTTCATCCCTTCTTACCTTCATCGTGCTCCCTCCCACCAGCGCCGGAGCTCGTATGAGGCTGCAGGAAGGCACGTGTCCATCAACCCAGCCAGAACCCCAAGATCTGGGGTTAGGCACAAGCTGCCTTCCCAGAGGTGAAGGTATGATTTTGTACCTGTCCCAAGTGAGGGAGTCTCACCACAGGCTGGAAGATCATTGAGGGAAAACCACCACCACGGCCATTGTGTCATTGTCCCTGGTACCCACCGTGTCCCCAGAGATTTGCTGAAGATACAGGGGAAGCCAAGAAGGCCCCAAGGGGACAGGGCCATACGACAGAGGTAAGAAACAGCCCCAGAGGACTCCTCGAGGGAGGTAGGCACCAAACCCAGCTCCCCTTCCCACCACCAGCCTGCCAACCTCCGTTCTTATGGCTCCAGAGCCAGCACCATCCTCCACCAGAGTGACTCCCGCGGCTCCCAAAGCCCCAGAGCTGGTGCTCATAAAAAAACATCACCGAGTATTTACCTCATCCCAGCTCCAGGGTTAGAAAGTGGCTGGTTTTGCTGCGCTGTGGCCGTGGGGAAGCTGCAGCATTCCCGGGAAGCGCAGGCAGCACCAGCCTGTGGGAATGACCGACCCAAACACCCACCAAATAAAGCTCCCCCAGGTCTGAGTCTGGGCAAAGGACAGACAAGGAGCTTCTGTTAGTGACTGCGGCAGTGCAAAAAAAATAATTAAAAAATAATAATAAAAAAAAGACTACAGCTATTGTACCCAGATCTGTATCAGTGGGTTCGGCTGATGCCAAGCATTTACCACCCTCACTTCCTGCTTGCCACCCTCGCTTTCCTGGAGGAAAACATGCATTTTAAATGTTTATTTAGAGGCGTAAGAATTCCAACAAATTGTATTCAAATACAAATAAATATCAAAGTATGTTTCTGACGGGAACACAACCACATGCCCAATTCCAATCTAGGTATTTTCTAAATTCCTAATAGAAATAGAATCGATTGCTGTTCTAAATAATGCAGACACGGATCGGGAGGGCTACAAACATTCGATCACGCAGGAACAAAAGACAGGCTGTTTGCAGAGGAATGTCCACGGGTGTTACTGACATTCACCGGGGGACAAACTCCCAGGGATACTGCTTCTCTCTTTACTCAGGTACCCCAAAAACTAGAAAGCAAATATTTAAACAGCACGAGACCTACTTTTTGAACAATTCAGGCTTCTAACAATCCATCCATCCATCCCACAAATCACAGCTCCGTTCTGGCTGGGAAGCAGGAAGGGTGCTCTGCCTGAGGCAGGTGTGCTGCTGCAGGAACACAAACCTCCCTGTGCTGCGCCAGCGAGAAGCACCCGCGCACGGAAAACAGGGGCTGCTTCAAAATTATTTCCCTCCTCTTGTCTGAGACCACCGTTAACCAGCTTGGGGAAGCAACTCAGGAGTGTCCAGAGAGGTAAAGATTCACCAGTGAAAGGATCAGGGAGAGCGGACATGGACAAAATCAGACCAGCCTCTCCTGGCTGCGAGCGCAGACGCTCTCCATCATCCCCCTCGTGTGCACCGAGGAGAGAACGCTGCCAGGCAGTGCTGCTTCCTCAGATTTCTATTTTGCAGAGAGCATTGAGGGAGTAAAACATGCTGCAGATCAAATGGTTTAAGCCAAATGCCATCCATCAGACCTGCAAACGAAGCAGCACCCGGTGGAACCCCTTCACCACAAACGCTTGTGCCGCTTTACCACAAGAGGCAACCAAAACCCAAAGTTGGACAGGTTTGTAGGCAAACGCTGAGGTCATGTGCCTGACAGATGTCTCCGAGGCAGCAGTGTTACTCTCTCACGCCGTCACATCTGGTTTAGGAAGAGCTGCCACTGACAGGGATTTACTGAAGGCAGAGATCAGACAGGGCACCGCTGCGCCCCAGAGCTTAGGGCACAGCACAGACCTCACCGGGGCCCGAACACACCGATTCCTACAGCCCAAGTGACACCCAGAGCCCCCGGGCTGTGTCATCGCTCATCTTCAGGCTGCCAGATCAGAAACTGATACCTGAAAGTTTGCAAAATAAATTTGCTTTGGTGCATATAAAATATTGCATGCACAGTTACTAAAAGCGTTGCAAAATCTATTTAAAATGAGTTTTATTGAGATGAAAAAGTTTTCCATGGTAACTACAGAATGTTAATCAAAACCAAGTGCTTCCCCTCCATTTAAAAACACAAATCGGAATACTTTTTGTTCAAAAATACTTTAAAAAGTAATCAGTTAAATGGAGTATTTTTGGATGTGTGCTTTACTCCATACACTGGTTACTGTTTCTAATCTTGCTTAATGAATGCACACTAACGAGAGGTTGTCTGCGTGTTCATCAGAGGCTTTGAAGGGAACCTACTTCTGTGAACAGCGTTCAGCTGGGGAGCACTCAGCAGACACCTACAGTGTCACAAAACACCACGCCGGGGACAGCGGTGCGCTCGGGTGGCAGCGTCCTTCTCACTCTACAAAGTACAAAAGCAGTGGAGGACTCCAGGTACACAAAGCAGTGTTTCCTTGCTACTTCATAAGCATCATCTCCTGGATTTCCAGGCAGCTCTGGAATAAGGAGTAGTCCTTTTCTTATCCGGTGGTTTGAAGTAAGAATAAACGGGCGCTGCCGGGTATTCGGCGTCAGGGTTTTCTGCCATCATCTTCAGCTTGGCTTCAATGGCCTTTATTTTTGCACTGACGCTGGAAAGAGGAAAAACAGAAGAGAAATTGAGCTTCATCTTAGCACGGAATCAGACTCCAGCAATCTAGAGGTTTTGCTGCCACACGAGGAGGGGCGAGGCAGCCCCCAGCGCTGCGCTCACAAGCGGCGTGAAGCTGGGAGGAAGGGATCTGCTGCTTAAAGCTGCTTCACTTCAGGATTTGCTTGGGAAAAGTCCTCCAAGATCCATCACAGCACCACGAAATAACGGCCCTTGCACCTACTCAGCACTTTCCTGAGGACACTGAGCAAGACCAGAGTATACAACAAGGCTCCCTACTGCATGTAAAATGATGTCATTTATGGAGGTCTGAGCATGTGCAGGAGAGCGCAGCTCAGCCCAGGCTGCTGGAAACAGCAGAGAAATGAAAGCCAGACTTCCTCCCAGCTACAAGAACCGCTCGGGATGGGAAAACCCCAGACTCTAATTAGGTCAGGAAGAAACATTATTTCAGCATTAGCAGGGTTTATCCCAAAGGGAGAAGCTATCCCAGGTTACACCCCAAATTCCTAGGACTTTTGTTATTCACTATTCTCCGTTGGGTATGGAGGGAGGAATGTTCCCCTCTCTGCTGTGGTGTCTCACAGCATCCATCCTCACTAACACAACCCCTCTGTGCCACTGACGTAGCTAACAATCTGCCTGACTCAACCCTGCGCTCGTTACTTCTGAATCCCAAGCTCATTTTATCTGTTGGCAAATTCATTATCCCCATATAGTTCCTTATAGTGTTCCACTGAGGGAACACAGAAGAAAACCACATATCCTTCCAACCAGGCTGGGAATTAGCAAAGCAGCACTACGTGCTTCAGGTAAACAGAGGGGTTGGAGAATTTAACCACATCCCACGGAGAAGACCTACCAGCCCTGACACTGGGGAAAGGGAAAAATAAAACTACCTCTGATTCTGTGATTTTGTTCTAATCTTTTACCACTATAATACAAATTCTTGCTCATAAGCATTTTGTTTAATCAAATTAGTACAGTACAAAACCTTTCACTGAAAAGTCTTATGAAAAAATGCAAAGCACATTCTGTCCAAACGAGCTGGAATGTCACAAGTTCCCAGTTACCCTCTTTACCTCTTCTCCTTCCTACTGCCCCTGTAGCTTAGTTAGAAAATGAACTTCAAGTCTGAAGTGTCCCACATCAAACGAGTTACTCTGCAGCACGCTGCCCTTCTAAAAACAGCTTCTCAGAGTTTATTAAAACTCTAGTGTCCCACGTTATATTTTTAGCACAAAGAGAACGCCAACTCCAGACCCCACTGAAGAAGTCAGTTCCCTGCTGCTCCCAGAGTTTGGTCACCTCCCACCCATCCCACCTCCTACCTCAGGTTAGACTGGGGTGGCTCCGTGCTGGAAGATGGCTCCAGACTGATTGGAAGGATCTTCTCATTTTTGTTGTGATCATATCTCTGCAAACAAGAGACCAAGGATTGAAGTCAGCTGGAATTATGAATAAAGAAACGTTTGCCCACAGATATGCTTTATACTTGTATTAACATCGGCTCAGATTTTAGAAAGCTTTCAGGAGGAATGATTTTGGTGGCAAAACACTGAAACAAATCCCAATCCCATTTGTTTAGTACCAACATGGAACGTAGACTCTGATGCCAAACACTTAAGTGCATTGTGCTATGGGTCCTTAAACCTTATCCTGTCCTATCACTTGTTCCCCTCTAGATAAGGCATGAAGCAAAGATGGTAAGTTTTAAGGATAACTACTGTATTGAATTGCTATGCTCTTTACATAGATGTTGTACAGAGTCAAAAGGTAACCCAAGCACACAACTGCACGGGATCGTGCAGTGCTGGGAGAAAATTAAAAAAAGAAGGAAAAAAAAGCCCAGTTAGGAACAACCTCCCTTCTGTAGAAAGCAGCTTGTGAGTCTGTCATCTCTGTGGGCAACGGGCCTCCTGAACTATTCGCAGTGTTCTGCTTCCTTATTTCGCTTGGCACAAAGTCAGGCTTGTTTTTCAGCAAAGCTGCTCAAACCGACAGTGTCTGGTAAGCCTTGGCCTCATCTTAAAACTACTTACCGTGGTGCTGGTATTGTCTAAAATAAACACTTGTTACAATAAGCCAGTTTTGTGTTGTTAAATCTTTCCATTCACACATTCCAGGCAAACCCAGCTGATGATTTACGCCTGTTCTTCCCCACAGCCCAGCACCCAGCTGCCCCACTGAACTCTGGCTGGAGAGACCCTCCCTGAGCTGCCCCCAAACCCCTTGTAGGGCCTGATCCTTCCTCAGGCACCCGGAGCTCCTGCAGCTACAGAGCTCACAAGAACGGAGACAGCATTCCCAGAAGCTTGGATGTGCTGACAGGAGCCTGGAGCCCTCGAAGCCAATAATTAAAACAACATGGTCTCCTCTAATGAAGATACCTGTTTCGGTGGGTTGGTTTTTTTTTTTAGCATCCAAAGCACTAGTTTACTTGATAAGGGTAGAAAGCTGCTTGTAGGATAATTACCACATACTAAAAGCAAAGTACCCAAAGGAAAATAGCAACAAGAATCCATTTATCTGCAAAGAAAATTGATTCAAAACAAATTGCTTTATCAAATACCAGATAGTAAATAACTACAGGAGAAACAAGAGAAGAATTTAAACAATTAGAAAACAAAACCGAAAAAAGATGTTCCAGAAGGTGCTGCTTAAGTTAATAGTAAGAACTTGATGCTTTGGTGCAACACAGCAAGCAATAAAAGGATATTTATCTTAGATGTGAAATATGTTGGTTTAAAGTCAGAAGTAATTAGAGCCACTGGCACATAAGTGCTTTCAGAAGTGGAACAAAGCAACAAAGCACTTGGTAGTTGGGAATTTCCATGCATCTCCTATGCAAAAAGAGAGCAAAACCACAAAGGCAAGGATATAAACCTTCAGCAAATCACTCGTTAAGTTTGGGAAAAGCTAAAATGTGGACATTTATAGGAGTAATCTATTCCAATTGCTCTGATCAGAAACTCCCTTACAAAGAACAGCAGGTTAAACGGCATATTCTCACTCTCAGAAGTTCAGGTAGGCAGAAGAAGCACATTGTTAATACCATTTTTATGAGTTATTTCCTAGAACAGGCTGAAATTCTCTCACCAGGCTAAGATAGCCTTGATGAGAATTGTTCCTTAACATTAAACTTTTTGGATTTTGCACATTCCAGCAAGCAGCTTACCTTGACTTGTGCATGTGCCCATCGCACCACCAATTTCTTGGAAAGGGCCAGCTTCCCATTGAGACACTGGATCGCCTTCTCTGCTTCCTGCACGGGACGCACAGGAAGACAGTTCAATAAACAAACCAAGCCTTTAGTCAAAACCGACTCAGATGTAAAGAGCCTTTTTTCTTTGTAAATCAGTCTTCTGTACAGCTAACTGACAGCAATGAAAGTTTATCCCATTGTATCCCCACCCAGGAATATCTTTGGAAGATACCAACATCCCTCGGAGTAACCAGACTTTTATAAATCATTAAGGCTGATTCTTTCACTTGTCTTGAGGGAGGAAATGGGGAAAAAGATCAGGAGTTTGAAAATACCAGTAGTAGAGGCCACTGGAACAGCGTTCTGAAGGAGGTTTATGCTACAGGGATTTCTCTAGAAAATACTGTGACTCATTACAGTGATTACATGTGTCTCATTAACAACTATCTACGCTTATTCCACATCCTGCTCATGTGCACTGGGGCAATTATCCACTTGGTCCTGATCTAAGCTCAGCAGTTGTAGTCTCAGCTTCAGGATGCTCCTAAAAAACTGGATTCACGGCAGTTAAAAATCTATGTTGTGATGCTGTTCCACCTTGCCATGAATAATCATTCCAGCACAGCTTCTGGAGCTAACATGCTCCCAGGGCTTGTCTGACATCCTCACCAGCAACTGCACAGCAAGAAGATGAGGGCTTACAATAAGAAGCAATCTCCAAACACACTGTTCTCCAGAATTTTTGAACAATTCCAGCAGAACTGCAACAAAATAACTACAGCTCTGATGTTTCAGGGGAACATGACCTGAAATGTTGATTTCTAACAAAAGCCAACGCCCCAAATGGGCGGCCAGGGGCAGCTCAGCCCAGGGTGCTGCAGGTTTGTCACGTCACACATCGGGCAGCATCACAGGAGTTGGTGTTTGTGCGTTTGCAAGCCCAAAGGAAAACCAGGAGGACTTCAGAGCAGCTCTAGATTTCAGGTAGCCTGGCAGGCTGACCCAAGGCTCTGGGTGGATCACAGCATCTCCACTGTACAATTCCACAAGCTCGCTACAAAAGTGGACCAAAGAACTAGCCCTTTCCGATTAGCATTAGAAAGCAGGATTCAGGAAAAGACAGCACAGGAGAAAGGAAATCACTATTGCTGCTTCCAGGAGCAGTCAGAGAGGGGCTGTTAGAGTCTGTGGGTTTGTGTAGATGAGGTATTTAACTTATCCCTTCCTGTTTTAGCTTTACATTGACATTAAAAAAAAAAAAAAAATGGTGAAAGAAGCTAATTTAAATCAGAATTGTAGAGAATAGCAACATACCTGTTTGGTTTCAAAGTTCACAAAACAGTAACCCCTCGGCTGCCCCTCCAGAGCACCGGACTTGTGAAAGAGAAAGTCAAATTGCTTTACTTTGCCAAACTTCTGAAGGAGCTTGAGGAGGTGGTATCTGGAGAGGAGAGAAGACATTAATGAAACCTTTCACCACTCTGAAAACGAGGAGATAGAGAGGAACCCCCTGACACACACACACATGCATAATTTAAATCAGAATTGTAGAGAATAGCAACATACCTGTTTGGTTTCAAAGTTCACAAAACAGTAACCCCTCGGCTGCCCCTCCAGAGCACCGGACTTGTGAAAGAGAAAGTCAAATTGCTTTACTTTGCCAAACTTCTGAAGGAGCTTGAGGAGGTGGTATCTGGAGAGGAGAGAAGACATTAATGAAACCTTTCACCACTCTGAAAACGAGGAGATAGAGAGGAACCCCCTGACACACACACACATGCATCACAGTCAGTCACACAAGCAGAACGTGTGCCTGCATGGGATGTGACTTTGGGAATTCATGTATTCCCAAACACCCACCCAGGTGGGTCCCTGTACAACCCCCCTTCAGCACCCACAGCTCTGAGCTGCATTAGCAGCGACTGCTCTAAAACCTCAAGGCACAAACCTTCCCTCCCAGCGGTGCCAGCTGAAGGCTGTGCAGAAGATCTATTACTAATTGGCTTTTGAACAATTACGCAAGGGTTTGCTAGGAGTCTAGGAGGGCTTTGCCTCCTGCTGCTCTAAATCACACCTACTTTCAAGGACAAACATCATGGCTCCCCCTCCCTAGCCCTGATGTGACCACCTGGAGCTCCATCCCTTGTGTTCCTCTCCCTGCACAAGCAGTCCTAGTCCTTGTCCCTCAGGATTCCCACTATTTTTGCTGCCCTCCCTGTACAAGCACCGTTAGTCCCATCCCTTCCCTGTGCCACACAGCATCAGCGCACCGACCAGGACACGGCCAGATCACATAGAAATGCAACCACTCTCCCACTTGCCTGGCAGAGCTGGGGAAGCAGGAAGAGAGAAGAATAAGCAGAATTGACAATAAACCAGGCAAAAAAAAAAAGGCACCAGACAGACCTCAGTATCATCCAGGCCAAATCTGCCAGTGCTTCTGGCTCAGACGGCTTTGCAGTGACATGCACATTAAAGTCAGACACTTATTTAGCCAATTATCTTCCTGCCATCCAGTGGGAAGCGTGCTGTTTTCAATAAAACTGGGAAAAGCCAGAGTAAATCTGTCTGCTTAGTATCTGGTGCACTGAGCAACTTAAAATTACCAGCACATTTGTTCTACAGGCCACATCTAACTCTAAAGTTCTTTGCAGCTTTTCTGGTTCCCCACATCAAAGAGTTTAACACCTCCAGCTGACCTAGAAGGAAAGTCACACCTGTACTATTTCACCACTCAGCCCCATCCCTAGATGTTTAAGAATTATCTAAGGGTTTAATAAGGGTCTCTTAGTCAGGATTCACCTTTTCCTGATCAGCATTCGTTAGCAAACCACCTAGTTTAAGCCAATTTTTCAGCTTGCAAGATAGTACTCAGCACTCTGAAAGATAACTCAAGGGGCACACAGAGCACCAGGTACCGGATGAAACCTTCCATGTCATGAAGTCGGTCGTGGCCCAAGATGGCCAAATGCACCAGTCAACTTTAGGGACAATCCAAAGAGGAAGGGCAGGCAACATTTTTCCTAATAAAGCCTGATAGGATGTTTGAAAAGGGCTTTAGCCCTTTGTTAAGCTTCAGAGGCCAGGCAAGAAAGTTCCAGGAATGTGAGTCATCTCACAGGATGGGTCACGGTGGACATTCAGGATGTGCACTTTTAAAGAGGTGAAGGTGCAGCAAGTGTTCAGAGGAGCAGTGCAGAAGGGCCAAGTGATCCCCCAGGGGAATAAACACATTGAAATTGATTATGGAAGGCTTCCTACATCCTTTGGAATACAGATGGAGCACTGTGGTCTTCCAAGAGGCCTAGAACCCTCAATCTCTGCTCAGAAGGCAAGGGAGAAAAAAGAAAGCAAGAGCAGGAAAAAAAGGAAAAAAAGAAGCTGGTTACACAGTTGTCCAGTTTCACCACCGCACCTCGAGCTGCCAACAAGCGCTCACAGGCATACAAGTAAAAACCCTAACTTTAGAGACATCTGATGTATACAAAACCCAACATGTTGAACTTTCAGAGCCTCCAAAATATACAAGCGTACCTCGGGTTTGTTTCTGTAAATGTATTGCCATAAAAAGTACTTGCAATTTCAGCAGTATGAAAATAAAGTCCTTACCACTGTCCCTCTTCTGGCAATCACAGAGGCAGTGGAAGGGCAACAGCAGTTCTCATTGCATTCTCTTTAGCAACAACAAAACCCTGCAGCTGCCCTGTGAAAAGGAATACTTTGTTGTGTTTGTTTTTTTATCCTGAGAACCTCTGCAGTCAAATCCTACTTTCTTAGCAGCAAAGTGGAAGCTGTTCCTTTAAAACACATTTTATTAAGAGTCTAGAAGCAACCTATGTAATCCATTTTATTTAGTATTTTTAGATCACAGATGATGAAAACGTTATTTCCCAACCATTCATGCAGTTTTTACAACTGTACCCACTCGCCATGGAGCAGCTCAGAACTGAAATCTTGTACAACTAAAAGTTTCAGGCTGTGATTACGATTTGCTATTGTTAATATAGCGAGGGCATTAACAGTAACTTGACAAGTAGTTTTCCAAGCCAAGAGGACTTCAGAACTGAAGGAAGAGCCATCACAGAAAACCCACAGCCTTAAAAAAAAAAAAAAGTGAGAACATGTAAAAAGCTTTACTATGGCAACGACTTGGGTTATACGGAGCTGGGAAGTGATTCGCACAGATGTGGCCCCACCGCGCTGTGCCGATCACCGCAGCCAACCCCAATTTCCACTTCCTGTCATCTGATGTCAATGCGAGACAAACCAGCAGCTCCCCCATTTCCTTTTCCTCCACTCTTCCTCCTGGCACCCCGAGCGCTATTCAAACGCAGGCAAGGCTTCCTCTGAACAATGCTGTCCCAAGGATACCGCAAAGGTACCGGGCCACATGCGAAACCTATTATTGCGAAGAATTTTGCCCCACTGGGAGTCAGCAGGAGTCTGTAACAACAACGTGCGCACACATTGTTTTCTAGGTGAGACTCATCAAGATGGGATCTTAGACAAGCAGCACAACAGCCAAGGAAGTTGAACACCCGCGATTTCATAACTGTGGAAAAATGAATGGTCATTCAAAGGCTACTGGAAACTAGATAATATGTATGTGTTAATTGTAGAGCTGGAAATGAAATTTTTGCCTGTCCAAAAAGTGGAAGAGTCTCAAAAGGCTTTACAAAGAGGGCTGGGCAGAGACAGCAGTCCCTGCTCTGCCACACGGAAGACATGACTGAAATTTGGGATTTTTCCCCGCAGGAGCACTGAGAGGTGATGTGAACAAACGGTTGTGCCACAGCACATCTCCTACCCCACTGCACAGCTGGGGGACAAACGCTGCACCAGGCCATGCTCACGGTGACTGAGGGAACTCCACAGCTTCCTTGAGCAGTGATGCCAAACCCAGAACTGACCATCTGCTGCCCTCCTCGTGCACTGCCGTGGCAGGCCCCCCAGCTGGGGTCATTCAGCACCAGAAGCACCTGGAGACCATGCCCTACATCATGAACAGGTCCTGTGGTGGCAGCTCACCTCCTTCCAGCTGCTAAGAATACACTCAGCTGCCTCCTAAAACTATCTTCTTCCACAGGCAGAACAATCCTCTGAGGAAGCCGAATAAAAGGCAACAAGTCACCCAAGCAAACGCTACTGAAAAGGAGGAATGCCCACCAGAAGACCCACCATACCCCAGTGTGCAGGGTATGTCAGCGTTCAAGATGCTTTGAGCCTCCCATCTGAGACACAGTCTGTGCAATAACCTCCTATAAGCCACCAACTTGCAGGCTGTAATTTGTGGGCAGCCCTACATTTAACAATTCCTGTTACTGCAGCTTGTGCTCAAATGTGTACGTTACCTATTAACTCCCTAGTGCTTGATTGCAGCTATAGGCTGCTCTCTAAATGGAAGTCTTGGATTAATTCAAGACTTTCTGAACTCATTTCTGCTCAAGAAAGTCACAACCACTTATTAACCCTGTTAGTAATTCAATCAACTTTACTCTGTCTTAAACAAATCTTAGAAATGACAGGGACAACCCTTTAAAAATCAGATAAAAGCAGCAAATGAAGAAACACCTATTTGGTTTTCAGATATGTTTTTAGTCATGTGATCAGTAACCTCTACAGGGATAATTCAGATGAACAACTACAAGCAGAGATGTAAGCACTTAGCATAAGAAGGTAAGGATGAAGACGATTTATAGAAACTTACTGACCTGACAGTAAGTTCTTTCTCTTTACACTGACAATGTGGTAAAAGGAACTTCCTCTTTTTTTTCTATTCACAAGGAAACAAAGTTTACAACATAGTTTGCAGGAGAGAATAGCCATTTTTAAAGTAAAACCAAAAGCGAGGCACGCAGTTATAAAGCCTGGAATAAGTAACAAGCACTCTCACTTATCACTGGGCAAACTTTTAAACAGTTAGTAGCACGGAAGCACTTTAGGTTTGGTGATGGTGGAGAACGAAGGCCTCTAACCACTCTCTCCCTCCCTGCCCACAGCCGTGATGCTGCTCTGGACACGGTCCCTGGCAGCAAAGGAGCCAGGGTCAGCCGTGCCCAGCCCAGGCTGCTGCACTCACCAGCTGCAATCACTGATTCAAAAAGCCTGCCCATGCAAAGAGCTGAAACCCACAGAAATCATTTCACCCAAGCCATGAAAACCAGTACATTTCGCCATATAAAACTATTACTTGTCTGGCCTAGATTCAGAGGAACAGCCCAGACTGAAAGGGTCTTTAAAACCACCGCTAACGATCTCCCGGGGAAGCGAAGGATCTAATGCGTCCACAAACACCTACTATTCCTCCCTCCCGCTAACCCAGTTTCCTGAATCTTTAAGGAGCCAGCAAACAACACACTCAAGAACTCCTATATCTAATTTTACGTGGTCAGTGAATGTGGACAAACCAGAGGAACATAGCTGTGGGATAAAAATGGTAATTAATGCAGAAACCACCCAAAGCTGAATGGCTGAAAAGCACAATGCATTAATGATTCCATTTAGAGGCTATTAGAAAACTGCTCTGTTAAGATGAACCACATTTAGAATAAAAACCTAGCACCTGCACACACACAAAAAGAAGCAGGAAGAAAAAGTATTCCATGACAGGCATATACAATAGTTAATCAAAAATGCTTGTTTCTTAGAAGTGTATAAACCCCAAACTGTTTTGGGTTTGATTTTTTGTTTTGTTTTTTTTTTGTTTTTGTTTTTTGTTTTTTTTTTTATACAACCTGTGATTTCTCAGCACACTATCCAAACATTGGGCAGCAAGTCATGTTTCCTCATCAATTTAGCTGTCCAAAATACTAGGTTTGCTCAGAAGATAATTATCTGTAGTGCAGAGAAGAGATGAAATGCATACACACACGTTTGATTTGTGCACTTACAAGCAGCCAGCCCCCCTGCACCCTACCCCATTACCACTCAGTTACTCGAGTAACTCCCCTTTTCAACCCACACCAGCAAAACAACAAAACAAGGCTTTTGGTCACCCTGCAAGTTAAAAACCTAAAATTCTAACATATATAGCAAACAAAGATGTTTTCCATCCCTGGGCTTCCAGCTCGGTCAATGGCTCAGAGGATTGTTAAATGCAGTCATTACATGTCTGCCTCCGAGTCCCTCGGCCCACGGGGACAGCACAGCCCTGGTGACACCCCACATACACAAACACCACACACACACACACTGCAGGCCTTTTACTGCCAGGCAGCAGCACCAACCAGACATGGAGTCAGCCATGTAGTGCCATGGGAGCTGGGACCAGCTGGCAAATCTCGAGTGGGCGACCGTCACCCCTTGCTGCAGGGCAGAGGCGAGAGCTGGGTGTGCTACCCCAGCCTGGCACTGCCCTCCTGGGCACGGGAGCACCCCCAAAGAGGGTCCCCCCAAGCTGTCACCCATCCCACACCCAGACGGGCACCAGGGACCAGACAGTGGGGACCCAACGCCAGGCCCTCGGAGGCAGCCAGGGCTGGGGAGGGACAGGGGAGGGACCGGGGCGGGGTGATGTGTCACTGCCGGCAGCACCGCGCTGCTGTGGCGGGGGATGGACAAGGCCTCATGGATGGGAGTACCGGGGGGCCGGTACCGCTGCTGGGGCGGACACGGCCCCGTCGATGGGTACCGGGGGGCGGTACCGAGGCGGGTTAGCGGGCGGGAGGCGGCGCCCCTGAGGGCCGGTGGGGCCGGGGCAGGCGGTTCCGCTGGCGGGGGGTACCGGGAGGGCCAGGGGTGGGGGGGGCGGCGCCGCGCACAGAGCGACTCACTCGGTGATCTTGGGGTCGAGGTTGCCGATCCAGAGGCGGTGCCCGTCCTGCAGGGCGCCCTCCGAGAGGATGGAGGCGTTCTCCAGCGGCAGCGCCTGGCGCCCCGGCTCCATGGCTCGGCGGGGGAGCGGCGGCGGCAGCGAGAGCGGGGCGGGGGCCGGGCCGGGCCCGCACTCACCATCACACCGCGGCACCGCGCAGGCCGCGGCCGCTCCGTCCTCCCGCAGGCCGCGCCTCGCCCCGCCCTCGGCGCCGGACGATGACGTCACGCCGCGGGCGCGGCCCGATGACGCCACTGGAAGGCGCGGGGCTGCGCGACGGTGAGCGAGGCGGCGGAGGCCGGGCCCGGCCTACCCCATCCCTTCCCCTTCCCCTTCCCCTGTCCTCCCCTTCGCCCGTCCTGGCCCCGGTCCCCGGCTCAGCCCGGCGCTCCGCGGGACACCGGGGGGCGCGGGGCCGGCGCGTCCTGAGGAGAGAGGGGGGGGCCCGGTGAGGGGGCGGGGCAGGTAACGAGGCGCTGGTGTGGGCGTGGTCACGGTGGGCGTGGCCGGGATCCCCTTGGGGCGAGGCTCCGCCTCCCGGGTCCCCGCCGCCGGGCCCGGGGCACAGGGGCTTCGGGGGCCGCTCGCCCGGGGGGTTCCCCGGCGCGGCGAGGGGCGCGGGGAGAGGCCGCAGCCGCCGGTGGCCGGCAGTGTCCCGGCCCCTGCCGCCATCGTGCCCTTCTCCGGGCGGGACCCGCGATTCCCCGGTGTTTCCCCCCCCCGTGTTTTCCCCCTCAGCACCGCGGAGCCGAAGCTGCGGTAACGCCTCTGAGCCCCGGCGGCCCAGGCGCCAATAAACCCTGTGAATTCGGGGGGAATTCGGGTCTCAGACCCCGTGTAAGAGGAATTAAGAGTTTGTTCTCCACTGACGCACAAGCAGCAGACGCTCTGAGGAGCTGTTCCCGCTCAGCAGACGTGGCTTTTCCATCCCCGTGTCCCTCTGGACAGACGTGCAAAGGCCACGCAGAGAAGATACGTAGCACAGGCTGGTTGCCACCCAGCCCCTTCCCCTGCCTGTCCCCCCTGGTCACTGCGGTGCCCCCGGACCCGCTGCCCACGTTGCTCAGCTCTCACCTTGCACCCGTCGGTCCCACTGAGACCTGCCCCTGTTTCGGTGGGACATGCCGAGCGTTCCACCTGCCTCTCCTCTTTTCCAGGTGGGTTAGGGCAGAGCTGTAAGCCATGGCCCTGGCACTAAGATGCTTCCGTCATCTCCCTTCCCTTCTTCATCGTTCTTCCTTCGCAGCGCGGCGGGGGCTGCCCCGGGCTCCTGCAGCCTGCCCGGCCCTGCTCCTGGATGGCTGCAGGCAGGCTGTCTGTCAGATGCTGCTCACCAGACAGCTGGCTACCAAAAAAGGTAACGGCAACAGCCTTTTTCCTGGTGTTTGCAACCCCTCAGTATGTTGCCAGGATTTCCCTCCTTACCCCTTTTGTCCCATACCAGTATTGATCTTGGTTGGGCAGAGCAGGGCTCTGGAGGGGCTGTTTGCTGGACGGTGTCGCAGTGTGCAGGAGACCTCAGCCCTTCCCCAGGAGAGGTGCCACCCGGGGCTGGTGCTGCGCTGGGGCAGCAGGCAGCAATTGTCACAGTCCAGGCTGGAGTCCCTACCCACAGCGTGACCTACAAATACATTTTGGCTCATGTGCTCAAGTGCTGGGCTGTTTACTCATTTAAAAACACAGTTACTTCAGTTTATCTTAGATTAAATTCTAAATCTAAGAGAGGTTTTGATGTCTTCTTTCTACTTTCTAATGCAACGACAGTTGTCAGAAACAGGAATTAATTTTATATGTAATCTGCAGCTAAAGGTAAAGGGCAGAGTCAAGCCAAAGTGAATATCAGTGCTGCCCTAGTTGAGGATATTATCAATTTGGAGGAAACCAGTGAAGACATGCAGGCAGTGGTGGAAGCTCTAAAAGAAGATTTCAGCAGAAATCTCAGCGTTAGAACCTCACCAGGTTGGTAACTTTCTTGTATGATGCTCTATTGCCTGTAAATAAGGATACCAATCATAGTCATAGAGAACTCTGATTTTTTTTAGAATTTATTTTCTTTTTATTGAGTTATTCACTTGGCACCCACTTACTACAACCTTGATGTTCCCAAGTAAAGGCTTTCTTCACCCTGAGCTTGACCAGGAAGAATCCATTTTTGTTAATAGCTTCCTGGAAATAGCTTTTGTAAGTGGGAGATGTCAAAAGTGTCTAACTGAACTGTTTGCAGATGTGATGAAGAAGCAGGTTGTCAGCTAATGGTGCAGTAGGGCAGGAAAAATCCAATTGCCATTAAATTAGCCTCTTGGAAATTGCCATCAGGCTGGTGTCTGGCATATGCAAACTTTTTTTGCTGTGCATCTTTGTGGTTAGTGACCTTTAGAAGCCTTGTTCACTTAGTGAATTTTGTGTTTTAGGAAGAAACGTGAATATATTTGACTAAGGTACAGTTACTATAACACTCTGAACATACACATTTGTAAGTAGTATCAAGTTTCAGGAATAAAATTTAACATTAAACAATGACCAAATTTGAATCATTCACCACCCCAGCTCTGGCAGGGGCACTTCGGTCTTTAATGGAGTTGGAAAGCGTAGCTTAGTCTCTTAACTATTTATTTTAACCATAGGTATTTTTTTTTAATTGCACTGATAAAGTACCTCTTGTCCCATGTGCCTTTTGGCCTGTTAACATTTTGCAGCAGAAACTAGAGAGCAGATTAAGAGTAGCTCAGGGAGAAACTGAATACTTTAAATTACGCAGAGTACACCACCTCCTCTTGGGACTTGGAAAAAAAAATGAGGGGTTTAAGAGAGCACTGCTAAGTTAAAGACAATAGTCTTGATTTTTATAACAACATTTTGATTTTCTTTAAGTTCTAACTATTAAAAAATAACTATTTCCTTTTCATTCTTAACAATCTTGCTTAGTTTTCCTCTTCTAGTAACAAAAACAAACAAATTTTGTTTTCATGTTTTTGTGCTTTAGATCAGCATTTAAATATTTAGCTTGCAAATACCACAGAGGATGCATGAGCACAAACAGCACCTGAAGTCTGAATAAACATGTTCTTTTCCCTTTTGTAACATCTATATTTTGCGTACCAGAAGGGAAGTGTACGCGTTTTTATTCGGCGTGGCTGCGAAGTGCTGTGTGGTGCTGAACCTCCCCTGTGTTTGCTTCTTTTGAGGGGTCCTCGATCAGATAATCGTGGTGACAAAGGACGGGAAGTTTCCGCTGAACCAGCTGGGGCAGATCTCACAGAAATCACCGCAGCTCCTCATAGTGAACATGACCAATTTTCCAGAGGTAAGGAGGCGTTACCGAAGGCACCGCAAGGGGAGATAATTACCATGGGAATGAGGAGGTTGGTGCTGAGCAAAGGAACATTTTAGAGGAGATCAGTCAAACGGGGCAGGGCAGAGAGCTCTGGCTGCGCGTCGCGGCTGACACAAAACAGAAGTGATATTTTGCTGCTGATCTGCAAGAGCTCGGTTGAAAAGCGGTGCTGAGCGTGTCGCAGACACCTGAATTAGACACACAGAAACGATGCTGCGTCTGCCCCGTTGTCTTTATGTCATTTCAGTTCCTCATGAACTGAAGACCCTGCAAAGAACCAGACGTATAGCTGGAACAGGCTGTATTTGTGCTGGGGACACCAGCAAACTCCTCTAAAACTTGTTTATCCCCAGGGCTGGTGACACCCCTGGAGAGCTCACAGAAGAAGCTGCTGATGTAGCCTATGAGCTTCTGAAAAGCCTCCCTGGTAGGATGAAGCTGGGCCCATGAGAAGTGCTGTCACAGGGCCTGACTCGGGCACTGCTGAGGGGGGCGAGCTCCTCCCTGGGCAGCGCCTGCAGGTCAGAACCCTGAATGAGGTGCTTTGACCTGCCCTCTGGAAGAGCTGACTTCCCTTCATTTAGTGCAGGAGCCTCAGTTCGAGTTGCCCGTAAAGGAGGCAGCAAATCTGAATCCCACCTCGGGATCAAGCCCTGGTGGTCCCCTGGGTGGGCACGGGCAGCCGGGCAGAGAGGAGCAGTAACGAGGGAAGGTTAGTTATTCATCCCGCTCCAGGTCTGGAGGTTTGCCAAAGCTTATCTCTATTTATTTTGCAAAGGCTTTCCCCAATTAATTAAGTCAGCAAAGTCTCGGAGGAGGTCAGCGTGAGGCACTTGATGCCTAAGTGTTTCTTAAAGTGTATCCAGCACGTTTAATGGCTTTGAAGAATGAAGGCCCCTCATCAGCGAGTGCCCCGAGGTCCCTCGCAGTGACGGAGCTGAGAGGGTCAGGGAAGTCACTCCATGGCTTAGCCCGTGTCCAAGCAGGAGCTCAGGCTGAGAAATGAGCATGTAAGAAATTAAATTTCACCCTATATACCATTGCCTACGGTTGCTTTCTAAGCCAAAGGAGCATTTTTCATTTGAACTAGAGCTAAAACCATTTCTCTCAATGCAGTTGGTTTATACCATAACTGTCCCATGGATAGAATGAACTCTTTAAAACCATTAGAGAGAGGTTTACTTGATGTCTTTCCTTCCAGCACATACCCAGTGCTGCATGGCACTGGAAAGCAAATAAAAATGCCTCAAGAGTCTGGAAAAGAAAATAATCATAGAAAAAGACTTGCAGGGCCAAATTCTGTTTGCCTGAGAACTGTAAAAACAAACGGGACTATGTCTTTTAACCATGGCTATTTATTTCATGGGCTGCAAGAGGATGGAGGCAATATGGCAATGCTTTCCCTTCCTCTGTCCTCTCCAATATGCAGGTTAAACACCACAGCTTTTGCTGAGCATTTCCTTCCTACAAGAGCAAGCACTGTCCATAGAATAACACGTTTACATTCCTACCGTGCTGAGATCATCTTGGTTGGATTTTCTCTGCCCTCGTTGTGTTCTGGAGGCCAGCAGTTACGTCTTGCAAAACTCTGGCACTGCATTCGTTCTGCTCAGCGATGTCACGTGTTGGGGACCCAAACAAACATGCAGCAGAGCTTCATTTTGTGCCTCAGTTGACAAAAGCCGAACTTCATAAACGCAGTCTGTGGCAGCAGCCTGGAGCTAAAGTTAATGATGGGAGAGAGAGCATCAGGAATAGCAAGGTGCCTTGTAGGAAGTGCCACAAGAATAGAGACTCACTTGGTCTCATTATTGCCAGTGTGAAGATTGAAGTGACCTGGCAGAGCGTGGTGGGAGCTCCCGGCAAAGCTCCGATTTACCCGCAGCAGCTGACGCTCTGTAAAGGTACACCAGCGCCCTGGGACGGGGAAGGAATCCCTTTAATCACTTTGCAGTTCCCAGGCAAACCTGCACACCCACCTTTTAAGCAGAGCAGGGTGTCAGCCAGCAGTGATGGAGTTTTGAGGAGTTAATCCCAAGTAATATCTGTAAAATAAACACGGAGCTGGGCACAGGCGCTATTTCTCGGCCAACTGCTACTGCCCTGCTGTCATGTGGTTAGTTGTAGTGCTGAAGTGGTTAAGTTAGTTAACGTTCCTAAATTGGCACTGTGTGATTTCGAGTGGGAAACATTCAACTGGAATTTTTAAATGCTCAGAATCTTTCATCTCCTTCGCCACAGTTGGGCTATGCCTTGGGAATTTATTGCGGTTTCACTCTGCGTTGCCTCAAACCATTCAAATAGTTTCAAAGAAGCAAAACAGTTTTCTTTTGTTGTTGCTTTGCTTCCCTTCCCCTCTCCCCCCCTCCGTGCCCCCCTACCCCGATGCTGAGCGCGGCCGGAGTTTCCCATTCGGTTTGATCAAAGCTCTCTGCACCAATGTAACTTCCTGATCTTACTGGTAACAGAAGTAAATGTTTCCATGTTCCATGGAGATGGATTGCCAACTATTGACAGAGTTCTGGCATATGGGAATGATTATTTCCTAATTCCCTTTACCTTTTGATCTGTTTTACAGAGCACAGCTGCAGCTACGAAGGCTATAAGGGAGAGTGGCATGAACCTGAACCCAGAAGTGGATGGGACGCTAATTCGGGTGCCGATTCCTAAGTGAGTACTGGTGGCTTCCCGAGTTCATCAGGCAGGATAACACAATAGGTTGCAGCGAGCACCCTTCAGAGGGCAAGCACACACGATTGCTGTAACGTTGTGATGAGGCTGCTTTCCAAATAGCTGTATTTCAGGTTCAGAAAAAGAAATCCAAGTCCCTAAAAGCGTCTGGTGGAAGCTCTTCCAAGTGTCTGAGCTCTAAGTCGCCACATTTGGGCATCTGATGGTTGGTCTTATTGTTCTTTATCTTCCCCCTGCAGAGGAGAGTTGGTCCTAGCTGGTTGCAGCATTTGGCAAGAGAGCCAGAGGCTTTTGAAGCTCCATTGCCTTAATCCAGAGGCTGATTTTTTGCTGCCCTGCTGTGAATTCCTGGAGGTACACCAGCACAGAGCAGCAGTAACACAGTAGTGAAGCAGCAGTACTAGGGGTGCTCAGCACTTCAGTTTGGGTCAGGGGAGCCCTTTTGAAGCGAGTCCCCTGGTGCTCCCTGCTTGGTGTGCTTCGGGCTGCAGCATCTCTGCCTGGGAACAGGATTCCTGTCAGATGAGACACATGGTCAGGCCCTGGGACTTGGCTGGACCTCATGTCCAGCATCTCACTGGCATAGACCCAGCCTGGGTCAGGGGCTGCAGCTGCTCTGCCAGCTCTGGGTGGTGCAAGGAAAAGTCACCCCTGCAGCGATGGAGCCATCTAAATGCCCTGGGCTGGTGAATGTACCTGGTCTCACACCCGGGGGTTCCATGGTGCTGTGAACAACTCTCACAAAAGGGTAGAAACAGCTCCCTACATCCCTGTGCGCACAAACGCCCGGCACGTGCGCTGCGTTTCACAAGCAGGTGACTTCTCAGTAGAGATGAACCAAGAATTTCTCGTGCTTTAGATAGACTTTAAGAATTCTATGGAATTTTAGCTAGCATTTTGATCAGAGAAGTCTAATTGCAGCTTTCCGTTGCTGTCGGTGAGAGGGAATGACATTATCATTCTATTTGCTGATTTTCTTTTCCCCGTGCTCCCTGCCCTTCCCCCATTCCTCAGGAGAGGAGGCAGAGGAGGAGGAGGGCACCATTATCTTCATAATTGCTGAGGCTCCTGGGTTGCTGCACAGTGGTTTGATTGTTAATGGGCACTTGGGTCATCCTTGAATATGAATTGCAGGGGAGGAAACTCCGAAACTGCAAATCCCAATCTTTAAAAAAAATACTGTTTTTTAAACAAATGGGTACGGTCTGTCACTGTCTTTTGCGGTGCTGCAGAGCAAAAACGGGTCTTCTCTCCCCAGGGAAGGTCTGCCTGGTGTGCTCCCTCCTTCCCTCTTCCCCAGGAGCCCAGGGAGTCCCCAGTTAAAGAGGTTTTTGGCCTGGGAGATGAGCCCTGCAGGTCTGTCCCCGCAGGCACCTCCATTCCCATTTGCTCACCCGCTCTTTATTAACACCACTGGGTTTTTCAGAGTTTCATCAACTCATCAAAAAGACCAGCAGACAGTTTCAACCCTTTAAAAACCTTCTAATGCAAAGGGAGGTGGAAATAATCAAATTCTGCCATCAACCTCTCTTTAATATTATACCCCCAAATTACTTTTTCTAATTTTCCAAAGGTTTTCATTTTCCCCGCTCTCAGAAGATGTTTACGAAATAACACATGACAGGGAGAGGCAGTGAAATTGGCAAAGTTATGGCAGGTGTAGAAAATGAGCAAACAAATCAGAAACGGAGGGACAATATTGTTTCTGCAGAAATTGGTTCTTTCGTTAAGGGGAGGCACAGCGCAAGTAAAATCAAACCTGAATTGTCCTTGCCTGTTACTAAACCCACTTTTTATTCTTACCTATCAGCTGGACACACATGCATCGTATTTTGCCTGCTGCAGCTCCAGCTATGCTTCAGTGCTTGAGAGCGTTTCAACCGAGCATTTTAAAATGGAGTTTACTTTTCAGTATTTATTCTGTTAGTTTAGTTTTCGCATTGCGGTTTTAACAGAAAAAGTACACTCGTTTCTTTCGTGTTTACTTCTGCTTCCTGCTAGGATCCCCTCTGCTCCCTGAGGCATTCGCCTGTTTGTGTTGCTAGCACTGCATAGGCAATATTTATTTGTATAAAAAGTATTCTCTAAGGGTTTAAAAATAAAAAAAAAAAAAAAAGAAAACCAGCCATGGGAACACTTGTATTGGTTGATCTCTTGGCCGAATTTGACCTGACCTTGTGTCTTTTATGGTATTGCCTCATTTTTAGATTCATCTTTTTTGGACCCATTGTGTTACACTGGATATTGTTTGTAAATTAGTAATATTTTTACACATGCTTTACTGAAAGCCAGATGACTCATTTGAAAGTTTAATGACTCATTGTGAGCTTTTTTTCCTTTGCCCTTTAAGAAATATGCAAAGATACCTACTATGGGGAGAAAGGACTCAAAAAAAATTCATTTGAGAAAGAAAAAGCTGTTTGTGAGCTGCGTTGCTCCCAGTCGCTCATCCTCAGAAGTCTCTCGCACGCTTTTTTTGAGCCATATATGTTGCACCCTGTGTTTATCTGCAATTATGCATGCAGAGTATCTAGTTAAGCCTGCTTTCCTTGGACTGATCCCTCTCGTTGACAGGAAATTCCTAGCGTTTGAGTTACAGAAATTACTCTTACCTGCATTAAGGTCTTGTGCTGGAGTCGGGTGGTGGCCTGTGCTGGGTCTGCTCTGGCTGCAGGCGGGGAGAGGAGCATCCAAGGGCTGTGGCACTTAAACCCCGGCTTGCTGGAGGAAACAGAAAGAGAGGAGATGTTACCCGTGGGGCAATGTGTGTGTCTGAACACCCTGGTGGCTCAGCCACGGGCTCTGTCCTGATCCCAGCAGAGAAGGACCTTCCCTGGGGGAACAGCAGGATTGGAGCCCACTGGTTGTTGGACCGCAGGGAAGGGCAGTGTTCCCCCCGGGAGAGGGGAAGGGGCAACTTATCCTCCTTCCCCACTTCTAGCACCCCTTTCCCGGGTTCACCTCACACTTTTTTTGGCTTTAAAGAGGGGGTAGGGGCAGTGGTTACTAGACAGAAAAGAAAACATATCTAAGAACAGCTTAAAAGTCCCAGGTCTGGGGGCAGGATTAAACAACTGTCCTTAGAAACCATGGGCCTGGCTCGTGTTGATGGATTCCTTAACCAGAAACAGCATCTGCTCGAAAAAGCGTCCGTTTCTGGCATTGTTGGTAGCATTGCTGAGAATTTACACACAGTCTGGCTGGAACATAAAACCCGCTGAGAAACTCCACGGCGCTGCGCAGTGATAAAAAGAAATTGGTGTTAATAAAGACAGACAAGGAGGCATGAAAGCTGTGACCCCATGCCAAGAAGCATAGGAAATCTGGCAGCGCTGCATAAACAAAAACATTTCCTTAAAGGCCCGGCAGCCCCGAGCAGGCGAGTGATCCCCTCGGCACAATCCGCAGGAGGGGAATCGCCGAGGGCCAGCTCCCTCTCCCACCGCTCCGCAGCCCTGCTGAGGACCAGCTCCCCTCGCCACCCAGCAGGAGATGGGAGAGATTTCCAGCTCCCTCCTCCCAGTTTAGCAGGGCTGGGATTGACTCCCTGCCCACCCACCCCCCCTCCCCTCCAAAAAAAGCTGCCTGAGAATCTGACCTCACCCAGACCTCTCTTTCTGAGCCGGCTTTGCTGGTTTCGCGGGACCTCTGGCTGGGGAGATGGAACAGGAGAAGCCCTGAGGGCATCGATGTTGGGATGTGGAGGAAACCACAAGTAACCCCGTTCACTTTTAATTAGGTGTTCAGTCCCAGCTCCAGCCCGCACTGACCAGAAACCTCTTGCCACATGTGAAATTCACTGGCCACCTCCCCCCGGCGGGAGCGGGGTGGGCTGGGGGTGCCGGGGCTGCTCTCTGGGTCTGACAGCTTTCCTAGCAGCCCCAAATTCCTGTAATTACCCGTCAGTTCTGGGAAGCCTGTTTCCTCCCGTGCAGTAAAGATAACTGGTGAGAGGCTGCAGACATCTGCCCAGGGGAGGTACCAGCGGGGTCTGACTCGGGAAGGGCCGAGGGTCTGATCCTGCCCCGACAGCCCCCCCGAACGCACACCCATGCTGCCCTGGGAGCCCTCGCCCCACGTTTCCTGAGCTCTCTGCAGGAAGAGTCCTGGCCTCAGTGTTTTGGTGACCCAGGCTGTTGCAGCCAATTTCTAAATACGCCTGTGAAATGTTTATTTTGCAATATCTTCCGCGAGCAGACGGGCGCTCTCCTTCTGGCCGGTCTCTGCGAGCGCACAGGGGTTTTTTCATTCTCAAGGCAGTCTGTAAACTTCAATAGCCACGAAAATAATTAAAATATTATTGTTAAGCACTAGCAGTTGATGTTGACAGTGATCAGCTGTAGGTGCTGGAGCATGACCAGAGCTGAGGTGACACGGCAGCCGTTCCTGTGCCTTATTCAGATGCTCAGACTCCCTCATCACCTGCAGTTTTTAGTTTGGGATGGACAGCTGAGGATTTTCTTGTGGTACCACAGCAGTGACTGACCCCGTGTTAGGGGAAGGTGGAGCTGAAGTTCTCCTGGGCTGAGTTACCTGTTTAGGATCATCCTCCTGTCCAACTTGGCGTTCACATCATCTTCGTAGAAAAAGCCTGGTTGTGATGAGCTGGAGTGAGGTTGAGTGAAACATAAGCTCTGTAGATTCCAGACAGACAATGCAGGCTCTTCAGTTGCAGGGAGATGGTACCGAGTTTCAGGAGTGGATGGAGGTTTCCTCCCAGCTTTGCAGGATTACACTTTTCAGCCCCATCTTTCAGGTCTGGAGCTGGATTTTCCCTCTTTCCCACAGATGCTTTGGCAGCAGAAAAAAAGGAAAGTCTGAACATTTCAGCATGACTTTCAGACGCTGCAGTGACAACTATAAAACAAGTAAGATCCAGTCCAAGCCCCTCCACTTAGGGCTGTGCTGGGAACTTTCCATTCCAGGCTCAAGACTTGCTTCACTGGGGTGTGCTGCCCTGGTGATGCTGCACAGAGGTGGCTGCTTCGCTCAGGTGAACCAGAGCAGGATAAAAACATGTCCTGAGCTGTTAAGTCCCTCTGTCTTTGCAACATAGGGCAAGCTTTGTCTTAGCACAGGCAGCTTTTGGGTGTCCCTGCGCATCCCAGCTTGGTGCTGGGAGGTACTGCAGCTGAGAGGATCACTGCATATACCCAAAGTGCATTGCAGAAGATAAATCTGGCTGTGCTATGCATGACATTGATTTTCCTTCTGGTGTTTTTTCCTTCCCCTCACTACTAGGGTGACGAGGGAACACAGGGAGAGCCTGGCCAAGCTCGCCAAGCAGTCCACCAACAAGTCCAAGGAGGCCCTGAGAAAGGTGCGAAGCAAAAGCATCAACCAGGTAAAGAAGTTCAAGAACAAAGTGTCTGAAGATACCATCTGGCTGCTAGAAAAGCAGGTAATTATTTTTTTTTCCCCTTCTGCCATATCCTGGTGTTTCACAGCCCAGTGGTGTTTGTCCCAGCGTTGGTGGCAGATCTCTGGCACTGAGAACCCGGCTGAGGAGTGGGTGGCCCTGGACTGAATTTTTGGAGTCAGCAATGGCTGTTATGTTTGCTTTTTCTTTGTGAGATTTGGGCCTTCAATCTCAAAGCCAGATTTGTGATATGAACCATTTTAAGCTGACAGCAATAAAAAAAAAAAATATTCCCCGAAAGCTTTGATACTAGGAAGGATTGTTGCAGAAACCAGCTGAACTCGGGAAGCCAAATGACCCACGTCCATAGCTTTACCACCACTTGCACAGTGCCTGGCCACTGCAAAACAGCTGGTGTTAATGAGGATTGCTCCAGTTTGTTATTAATGAAAAGGCTAGCAAGATTATCTGTTAGGAGTTTTTGGCTCCAATTCAGGAAAATACTTAAGCACATGCCTAATTCCCTAAGAGCAGATGTCACTAAAGTCAATTACTTGGGCATAAACTCAGGCACAAGCCTAAGTGTTTTGCTGAATTGATGCCTTTGAAGGCAGGCCATTACTTTTTAGCTGTTTGTTTATTAACAGCTAAAGTTAGATACATTGCAAATGCTTCGGGACAGTTCTCTGTGTGCTCACAAAAATAAACATTGATATACAGAGCATTTGTGCAAGGAGGAAAAATGGCCATGCTATTGTAACTGAATCCTGTTGGGAAGCAGTTCTCCCAGAGCAGACAGATGGTTTTCTGCATTTGTAGGGGTAGCGTCTCAAACCTAATTTTCGCCTGTACCCAAATTTTTCAGCATGGGGAAAGGTCATCGTTACATACCTCAGACCTTGGGAGCAACTGCATCTTAATCAGTCCTGTATAATTAGTGCAACACACACACACAGTGTGCTCCAGCCTTTATCTGCACTCACTCAAATAAGCACACACACATTCTGGTCCCATTTACGTGTTTGCTGTGTCCAACCCGTGTTACCAGGAGACCCAATTCCTGGACAGAGCTTTAACAATCACCATTTATTTCTTCTTAGAAGAAATAAACAGGCCTGATACTTGATGTGAGAATTTGTAGCCTGCACCAAGGCTGCACTCCTGCTCTTACTTAGTTTGTTCTAATAGTGGAAAGGTTGCGGGAGGTAACGAGATAAGCTCTCTCTTCTCTGGTGCCAACACCAGCAGGTCTCCAACTCTGCTTTCCCCCGAAGTTGCTCTTGTTAAATAAAGACCTGAACAAGTCACCTGTGAAGCTCAGCCAAGTGTTCCCATTGTGCATCTCTTTTCAGAGCCTTTGCCCAGTCCCTGTTCTGGCTGCACAGAATCTCAGGGCTGGTGGGAGCCCCCAGGAAGAGCCCCTTATCGCCCCAGCACTGTTTTGGGTTTTATTAGGAATTTAGGCTTTGTTCCAGGAGGTGATCCAGTCACTCCTTTCCCTTTAAACTCTGGCATCACCTACCCTGTGACTCAGTTGTGCTGTGTTGCCACAGATCCAGCAAATGGCAGACAGCGCCGCAGCGGAGATGGACAAACTGCTGGCAGCGAAGACCAAGGAGCTGCTTGGATAAACACCATCCCAATGGACACACTCCCTCCTCGAGCAAGAACGGACTGTCACACACCCCGGGCATCCCTGCCCAGAGTCAGGGGCCTCAGGTGATGGGCAGGGGCAGCTCTGGCAGACCCTCTGGAGCAGATCTGTGCTTTGATTGCTCCAGGTCCCCACCTTGGATGGTACTTGGGAGGGGGGAACTCTCCTGGCTGTTCTTCATCCAGGTGGGTGAATGAAGATTAAAAATAAAACAGCAGGAGGGAGAACTGGAGGCTGCTGGAAGGGCTCCCACGCAGAAGCTGGGGCACAGGAGGGACAACTGCCCTCCTCATCTTGCACCCCAACCCAACAGCATCCCAGCGCCTCACAGGAGCGAGGACCACACGCAGGGGAAACCTGTGCTGTCCTGCTGTGAACCTCAGTGTTTATTTTTGGTTAAAATAAAGTGAAAATGAAACATGGAGGAGCGACTTTGTGCCAGCCGGTTCCTGGTTGGTGTGTCCCCTTGGGTTCATGCGTCCCAAAAGAAGCGTTTGCTCGTTGCTGTGGCCAGAGTTACCCACAGTCTGGCCACGGGGGAGGCACAAGGGACCTCAACACCGAATGGTGCAGGGTGGGCAGGGGGAAGGGGCTTTGTAGATAGAGAACTGAAACCAGTGCTGTCAGCTTGGCTGCTTTAGCCAGGGCCGAGAAGACCAAAAACCAACAAAAGAACTTTCCAAAACCAGCATCTGCCCTCCCTGACCAGTCACAGCACACCTGCAGGAGCCACCACTACCACATTTTAGGGGGTGGAGGAGGTAGAAGCAGAACAGGCTCCCGAGCACCTCGCACAGCTCAACTCCTCACTACCAGCAGGTACTTCCCAACAGCAGCAAACGACCTCCCCGCAGCCTGGGGCGATGGCCAGAGGAGGGAAGGTGGTGGCCAGCACCGCAGCCCTGCTCCCAAGGCATTCGGGTTCAAAGAGCACCAAGTGCTCTGCAGTCCTTAAATAAACAACTCCCCAAAAGCCAGTTTGTGTGTGCGGTGGGGAGGGGGAGGAGGATGAAGGATTTGCTCTGCTAGGGCCCCACATGTCAACAATTTCTCTGCTTTGTGTATTTTGGCCAAAGTGCTTACCATGATAAATGAATAAAGGAAAATGGTGAGCCCAGGGCGGTTACATGGCTCGGTAAATTGCTTTCAGCTGATTACTGTATTTCTTTTGACATTTATCAACTAGGCTTTTCGTGCTGTTGTTGCAGCCTCAGCATCTCAGCAGCAGCCTGGGCTTGAAGGGTTTCCCTGGTACCTGCCCGGAGCGGTGGCTGGGGACCTGGGTGTATGTCTAAGCCAGGGCAGGTGGAGAAGCTGCTGCTGGTGCTGCCCACGGGGGCTTCTCCAGCCTCTTCCCCATCTCCAAGTCTTTGGGGCATTGGCCATGGGACGATGGAGGGGTGGGATGGTGGAGACAGGCCGTGGAGCTGCAGGGGGTCATTGCATGGGGGAATTTCCCAAGTATTTACTGCTATTCCTTAACCTGTAACATCTCACATGAATTAAAACCTAGTGGTACGACTGCACCAGCGCTGGGCTGGGGATGGAGCTGCCTGTCCCCAACCCAGGCAGCTGTGCCCTGTGCCTTTAGGAGGCAGCAGGACGGGGTCTCGGGCAGCTCCAGGGCTGACCACGCTGGTGAGGCAAAAGCAGGTGCAAAAATAGTTTTTAAATCTGAAGAAAGGCAGAGACCTGTTCTCCAAGCAATCGCAGCTGATGGTCCTGTGGCAGGGGAGGACTTGGGGAGCCCATTTGCCTGTGTCCTCACATCACCCCATGCTCTGCATCAGCCAGGAGCAGCTGCGGTGCCCGTGGATGGCAGCATCTCTCTCTCACCCCAGTACCAGTCACCCCTCACTTGCCATGGGCACACACCAAGGACTACTCCAAACCACCCAGGAGAAGAGAAGAGAGGACAGACACTCACCGCAGTCACTGAGACAGGGCCAGGTGGCACACAGGGTGGCTCTGGGTTGGCCCCACTTTCCCTTTTTCTGCACAAATCGCCCACTGTTCCGGTGCTCCACAGCAGGAGCCGCAGCATGAGGCCTGTCTGCTCCAAAAGCCTCCTCCAGCAGCAACAGCAGGAACCTCTCACTTGGCTCCAGCCTGGATTGCACCCGGAGCTGATAAGAAGCTGCAGCTGATGCTGTTGGCGGGTGGGGAAGGAGCTCCAGCTGCTCCCAATAACCTGGGAGGGAAAGGGACCCTGGGCCAGAAAATGGTTGGGCTGGGTGTAACATGGAAGTGATGCTGGTGATGCCATTTTGGCCACCAAAGGGTTTGGCCTCAGCAGCAAATGCCACTTGGTCACACGGGCAGGAGGAGGGAGGGTGGGCCATGGCTGGACCCCCTCAAGCTGTGCCCTGGGCTCTCCATGACACACTCACCAGGAGCCCTCTTCCCACGTGGGTTCAGGGCACCATCAGTTCCCACCTGGTGAGCGCTACCATGGCCTGGTGGTCCCCGAGGGGTTGCTCCCCTGGTGCCCCAATGCATGTCCCCACTCATCACACCCCCATCAGAGACCCACATCCTCCTACACGTGGCTCCCCTGGGACACCCTGGTTTGCTTTGAGCTGCTGAACCAGGTTGGCCCCAGCGAGGGGCAGGGAGCAGGACGGGCAGTGCCCCCCACCACCGCCCGGGATGAGCCCCGCGGCCGCCGGGAAACGCGACGCGGAGGCGAGAGGAAGGAAAAACTCCGAGGAAGCTGGAAGCTCTCGACATAGTTAAAAACCAACATTGCTCTTCAAAATAGATGTGATTGCGCTCCTTGTGAGTCATCGAGCAGAGACACCAAGATTGCTTTGTGCCAGGGACGAGCCCGGGCGCTGATTGTGTGCCGCCCGGATTTGTATAAAACAGACCATGGATGGCATGTCAGAGTTTACAGCTCGCATACATTTTCAACAGTGAGCTTTGCAAAATGTATCAATGTAATCTCTGCCTCCTATATTCCGTGTTGATTAGACACGATTTCTGGCTGGATTTTCAGAAAGCTCAAGTGCTTTTTTAATCACTACAGAAGCTCATTATTGCTTTCCAGTGACTCTTATGTCCTTCACTTCTCCTTTCAGATTAGAGTCTATAGTCAGATGAATATTGGATGATTTCATTACATACAAATGCAATCAACAGTTTTGCATAAATTTCTCCTCTTTTCTTGAGTTTCAATTGACCTCAGCACCCGTGGAGGCAGGCGCAATACACATGTAAATGAGCTGGCGTTGCTGCAAAGACACGGATGCGGAGAAACAAGATAAACTGTCAGATAATATTCGGGATTTTTAAGAGATCAAAAAAATACTTCCTTGTTCAGCCCAGCCGTAAAAATGGCACCTTCAGCTGCCGGGGGATTTGCTTTTGTTTTGCTCAGTGTCTGGCTGTGGACAAAGGCCAGGAGCGACACCGGAGTGAGCAGCTCGACCAGGGGACACCGCCTTCGGACCCCCCCAGTTCCCCATCTCCTGCCGGGTGTCCCCCAGCATCATCCCCGTGGTGGGGGCTCGGGGGGAGGCTGCTCTCCCCACCCTGTACGGCCAGGGCACGGGGGAACCGCTCGCTCAAAATATATTTAAGCTAACTCTCCATGCAAACAATCATGGCTAATTTAAACAAACTATAATTAAACATAAAGGACCTCTTGGTAGGGAAGTCGGGGAAAACTGTCAGCGGTTACTTTGGATGCGAAGCCCTTACCTTTAAAAGAATAATTTTTGTGCTAATGTGAGCAATCCAGCACTCCCACACTCGCCTTTGGGAGCCAGTGGGGAAAGAAACTCTTGGGTTTCTTTTGATACCTTTACGTGCTAATCTTCTTAACAGATTTTTAATTAACGGGAACAGAGCACTTTGCAGCCGTGAAATCTATTGGTGTAATTGCCTAGTGGATTAGTCCCATTAACCACACAAATTACCTGTCTCCAGGCCGCCGACCCCACCGGGGAGCTCCCCGTGCTGGACACACCGAGCAGCCCCATTCTGAAGCAATTTTGATAAAATAAACTCTCTAATCAGGTAAATAATTCCATAAGGGAAATTGCTGCCTTCCCGCAGCCCCCCTCCAGCGGGACCTGGCTACTTTCAGGGGAATGCAGCGTGCCTCCAATTACAGACAAATCTCCAGCTCGGCGACCGATTGGGAGAAGCCCACGGCACACGGGACCCCCTCGAACCGCAGCGGCCGAGGAATGAAGGCGTTTAAGCTGTCAGCCGGAATCTGGCCCGGCCCCTGATTACCTGGGGAGACACACGGTGTATTTAGGTTTGTGTCCGTTGCAATTTCCTGGCCCCCAGCGTTGATCCCGAATGACTCGCGTCCGTGTCAGGTTCCTGCCCAGGGTCCCTCCGACACGTGGCCCTGGGCTCAGGGATGACGACCTTTGGGCAATTAAGGACATCCAGGCCAGCCTGAGCCCGGGGAAGTGGAAACGTGCAGCTGCCCCGAGGAGCTGCCGGGTGAGCGGAGCCGCCTGTGCCCATTTCACAGCAGTGCTCGGCCAGGCTGGGTGGCTGTGCTGGCTGCTGTCACCACTCAGGATGGGTGCCCGGACCCCAGGGTCCCTTCCCAGCCCTTTTCCATGAGTTTCCATGGTCCATTGTGATTTTGGACCTGAACCCAATGGAGATTCCCACAACTTTTCTCCGCTTGGACACTGAGATGGGGATGTCCCTGGGGCACGTCCCTGGGCAGTCAGGTCCCTGGACCTGCAGTGTCACATGGTGATGCACATCGCTGACACACATCCCACCCAGACGTCCCCAAACCTGCTGCACCAGCCGTGGCAGCTCCTCACCCAGCTGGGCGCACCATGCTGTGAGCACGTGTGGTGGGGACAGCCCGGGAGGAGACAACCTGTGGGAGTTAAACACCAACAGTGACACCCCAGTGCCCAGTGCTGTGCACAGCCAGCCATGGTGGGGACAGCCACACTGAGAGGTGGCCTCCAACCATCCCATGAAATGCTCAGGGGGGGCAACCCCGGTGCTGGTCCCTGACCCCAGGATGGAGGAGCTCAAAGCATGTGTGGCACGGGGCTACTCCTCCCCCTGCAAAGGGAGGCTAAAACTCTCTCCCCTTGGCTGTCCCCATGGCTCCAGGGATCAGAGGGTGACCCATGGGGCCACCACAAACTGGGGGAGGGTGTCCTGTAGGGCTCCCATGGATGGGTGCGGGAGGGCAGGAACGCAGGAGGTGCCGGTGATGGCGGCCGGGGAACCCTACACCGCGGGTAATTGGCATCAGATGCTCCCTGACCTGCCGCATCCACCGGGAAGCTGGAAGCATTTATTTGTCTGAGCCGGCGGCTCTATCTGCGTGCGGGAGGCGTTGGCGGTGGCGGGGCTGGGCTCCCCGAGCCTAATGAGCCTGAGCTGAAGATGATGAATATGATTGCTGAAAGCGCTTTCCTGAGTCCTCCTTTCCTGGGGCTCAGGTTACCGGTTCCCAGACAGCCTGTCCAGCCCCGGCTTTTCAGCTCTGATTTGTAGCCCCCCAAACAGCGTCTGTCAGCTCCCCGTGATGGAGGAAACGCTGGGTCCTCTGCCGCCGTGCCCCGGGGGGAGCTGAGGAAGGGGCCGCCAGCCCTGCTGGGCCACCAGGGACAGCTTTGCTCCCTGGGCTGCCCCACCGCTGCCCATAGTCCCTCTGAGCTCAACCTGGGGTCAACCGGACCAGCCTGATGTCCCATGTGGCATCTCCAGCCACCAGCATCCGCTGTGCCGTTGTGCTGGATTGAAGTACCTGTGGCTGTTGGGGACCTTCCCCACAGGGGACTCAGTACCTATCACCTCTTAACCTTGTGGTAGAAAAATGGGGGGACTTTGGCTTCCCTGAGCCCCAAAATTCACGGGCAAGGGTCCACCCGCTGAGCCACATCCCACCTAAGGAGCCTTTTGGGGGATGCACAGGAATGGATTGGCCGGGGGATGCTCCATGGCCATGCAAATCCCCTGGGATCAGGGGGGGCATGCTCTTCCCAGGCACGGCCACCCCTCAAGCACTGGACTAGGGGGGCTATGGGGGGTCCCCCACATCTCCACTCCCTGCTTTCACCCACCTGGGGTGATCTCCAGCGCATCCCAGTGCCTCCAGCATCCCTTAGATGCTGGGAGTGGGTGGAAAAGATTTTTGGGTGCCCACCCACGGCAGGCTCTGGGGTCTTGCTGTCCTGCCCGGGTGGCATCTCAGCCTCAGGGAGGCTGGTTCCCCCCCAAAACCTGGGGGAAGGGGGTCCGGGCTGAGCAGTGCTTTGTGCCTCCCGCAGTCCCGGCCGGTGCTGCGCTGCCATAGACGGTGTTTTGCTGCCTCCCTACGGGAGGACGAGGTCCCCGGCAGCACCGGTTCCCGCAGCCCCGCCGGCTCCTCCGCCGGCACCGACCGGTGCCGGCGGAGGAGCCGGCGGAGCTGCGGGAACCGGTGCTGCCGGTGGGACCTCGCTGTCGCCCTCCCCGGGGGTGTCCACATGGAGGACCCATGGGGGGGCTTGGGGGGCATCCCCATAGCACCCCACCGAGCACTCGGTAGCCCCTCGGTAGCCCTGGCTGGCCTTGACGAGGCTATTGTTTCCCGTATTAGGCAAGTAAATTATTATTGAAAGCTGGGAAGAGGGAAGGGAAGGGGAAGCGTGAGAGCTCCTGGAGTTGGGACATCTCCAATGGTCAACAGGACTCTGAGGTCTGAGGGCTGTGGTCAACAGGATTGGGTGTGGGGTAAGAGGGGGGACCTGGCACTGCCCCACTCCTGCAGCCCAGGAGCACACAGGCATGAGGCAAGGGGACAGGAGAGCACCTGGGTGAGTATTTGGCACGGTCCCCACTGTGGTCCCACCAGAACCATCCCAACAC